AACACCCATGGAAGTAGCAGTCAGGAAATCAAAAGACACATTGCATTGGGCAAGTCTCCTGCTGCAAGAGACCTCTTTAAAGTGTTGAAAAGCAAAGATGTCACCTTGAGGACTAAGGTGTGCCTGATCCAAGCCATGGTATTTTCAGTTGCATCATATGTATGTGAAAGCTGGACAATGAATAAGGAAGACCAAAGAATTGACACCTTTGAATTGTGGTGTTAGGGAAGAATATTGAATATACCCATGGACTGCCAAAAGAACGAACAGGTCTGTCTTGAAGAAATAAAACCAGAATGCTCCTTAGAAGCAAGGATGGCAACACTACGTCTTACATACTTTGGATGTGTTGTTAGGAGGGGTCAGTCCCTGGAGAAGGACATCATGCTTGGGAAAGTACAGGGTCAGCGAAAAAAAGGAAGACCCTTGAGATGAATTGACACAGTGGCGGCAACAGTGGGCTCAAGCATAACAATGATTGTGAGGATGGCGCAGGACTGGGCAGTGTTTAGTTCTGTTGTACATAGGGTCGCTATGAACCGGAACCGACTCAACAGCACCGAACAACAACAACAAAAACAACAATTATGCTACTGTTTAGCCATGTGATCTTAGCAAGCACCTTTACTCTAAGCTTTGCTTTCCTTATCAGTAAAATGGGAATGATAATAGGATAAATCAAACTGTTGTGAGAATTAAATAATGAAATTAAAATATTAGAAAGACTATAAAAAGGTAAGAATTGTATATTAAGTAGGATTGCCAGTTAAACTGCATGCAATATTTGGGACATACGTATACTAAAAAATAATTCATTTTTATCTGAAATTGAAATTTAACTGCAGATCCTGGGCTTTGTTTGTTTTTAATCTGGCAACTGTTAGTATTAAAGCTATTCTAATATATTCTATCACAGTGCAATCAATTATAATTTAAAAAGAAAAGAAAATCTGTCCCATAGAAGAAGAAATTTCAGTGGCCCCTTTGTACTCATCCCGTTACCTTAACTTTGGAAACCTAAAATGGAATGGCTAAATTTGCTAATTTCGGCCTATGCTAGTGAAGATGTAAAGGATGGGTCTCAGATGCTCAAGATTGTCTCTTTTATATATTTTATACATTCATTAAGAATACCAAGCTTCTCTTTTTAAAAAAGAAAAAAAATCCATGTATTAAATCCCAAACATAAATTACTTTATTCAGGCTATGTAAAAATCTAACGAAACAAGAAATGGGCTATCTAGAATATTTAGTAGAGGCTGTGATTGGACAGAGACTAGCAAATAGAAAATTTCCTAGGTATCTTAGTTTTTAAGTGAAAGGAATACAGGAAGGGCGACTTAAGGTAACCTTGCCTATTTAAATACTCAACAAATTGCACTTTGTCAAGAGTAGGTGCTACGTTAGAAATCTGAACAAAGCAGTGGAATTCGTTAATAGTAAACTTTTGTGGTAGGAGTAATATTAGTAAAATTTTGTAAGAACAATAAATAATATTGGTGTTTCCAGAGATAGGAGAAAGTAGTGTAGAAGAAATTTAACATTTATAATTATAGAAAACTATTCATACATATCTGTTTTAAAAGCTTGAGCTATTTTAAAAGGCATAAAGTAATCCCATTTAGAGTTTGAGCTAATAGTTTTCAACATAAGAATTTTATCTGCTTTTTTAGATCATGATCAATTCTATCCAGTATTTGACCTGCAGTATGATCAGTGTTACATGAAAATGTGTGCTTGCCTTCCTTCAAAAGTCTAGAGTGGTACTCTGAGTACAGTTACATTTATCAACATGAATTTATTTAATATTTTTGAGAACTTGTGTAAGCTATGAATGTTTACTGATAATGGAATAAAAGTATACTTTAACATTTTAAGTTTGCAGTGCAATGAATTACTTAATGTGACCTTTCTAGCCAAGCATGGTCTTGTGACTCACACAAAATGATTGAGTGGGACTATCCTAGTAAGGTGCATGGAACCCCTGTTGGGGGTGGGACCTTGAAAATAAGTTGTGTGGAAACCTAATGAGGGGTGTCAGTTTTGCCATCCTACTAGGCTTAAAAGAGAGCCAGTCCCACAGCAGAAAAGGGGACCTCACTACCATCAAGAAAGAAGAGCCATGAGTGGAGCACATCCTTTGGACCCAGGGTCCCTGCACTGAGAACCTTGTAGACCCAGGAGACAGAGGTGTAACACTGGTGACAGCGTGAGACAGCAAGAAGCAATGGCTGAGAAATGGTTGTAGCAGAACCAGGAGACCGGCGCAAGACAGCGCAGTAGGCTTCCCAGCCCACAGAGCAAGGCAGCTACAGTGGGCATGCCAACTCTTGGAGTGAGAGAGCTGAGCGCCTTTGGGCTGGGGCTTGCTGGTTGAGTGAGGTGCCTCCGGGTGCTTATCTGTGCAGCTAGAGAGCTTTGTAACACTTGTCCAAGCAGGGCAGAGGCCAGGACAAGGGGCCAAAAGAGAAGCCTGCCTGCAGGCACAACCTAGAAGCTGTCTTGACTGAAGAACTGTATCCTGAGTCGTTCATGATCTGAATTGTAACCTGTTACATCCCTAATCCCCCCACGTGTCTGTCAGTTTGTCGTACTGTGGGGGCTTGTGTGTTGCTGTGATGCTGGAAGCTATGTCACCGGTATTCAAATACCAGCAGGGTCACCCATGGCAGACAGGTTTCAGCTGAGCTTCTAGACTAAGACAGACTAGGAAGAAGGACCCGGCGGTCTACTTCTGAAAAGAATTGGCCAGTGAAAACTTTATGAATAGCAGTGGAACATTATCTGATATAGTACTGGAAGATGAGTCCTCTTAAGGATATTATTCTGAAAATAGATTTTTCCTTTTGGACTCCTGAAGGATCTCAGGGACCTCTGGTGGTTTCTTTATCACACTTTGGGAGCCCTTGTCCTAGAAAATATATTACTTCATCTATAGAAAATAAAAACTTAAAATGACTCTAGAACATAACAATCCTTTAAAAAAATAACATCTAAAAAATCAATAATTTTTTTAGCATATCCAGTCTGTGTTCAGATTTCCTCATTGTCTCATTCTTTTTTAAACAATTTGTTCAAATCAAGGATTAAACAAGGCCCACTTATTATATTTGGCTGATTTATCTTTTAAGTTTTAATCATTGGTTCTCTCTTCTTTTTTTTTCTCTGCAATTTTATTTGTTGAAGAAATGGTTCATTGTCCTGTACATTTTCTCTCATTTTGGATTAGGCTAAGTGCATTTGGCTGAGTGTGATTTAACATGTTTCTCCATTCTCTGTATTTCTCGTAAATTTGTAGTTAAATCTAAGGCTTGATTAGATTTAGCTTTGTTTTTTTTTTGGGGGGGGGGCAGGATTTCCTAGGTGATGCTTTTATTCCTTTTGCATTATATTAGGAAAAATATAATGTCTTTTTTTTTCTTTTATTGTTGTTAGCTACATTTGAGTAGGCCCCTGACTCCTGGTGACCCCCATGCACAAAGGTACCTGCGCATGAGGTGCACTGACCGGGAATCAAATCCTGGTCTCCCAATGGAAGGCGAGAATTTTACCACTGAACCACCCCTCTACCCCTTCCTCTTTTAGTGATGTTAATCAGTCAGTTCAGATGTTGTCAGCCTAATCCATCCATTATAAAGTTCCCTATCAACTTTCCTCTAATGATTTTAGCAACTATTGTTAATATTGAATGTCAATGCTATGTTTCATTAGGTGTTGCAAAAGCTGATAATGTACTTCTTAAACTTTCTGAATTTATTAGCTGGAATTCTTTTCCTCATCAACTACTTCATTACCCTGAAATAGCATTCATACAGAATGGGCCAGGATAAAATGCTTAATTTTTTTTTTCTCTCTTTACAAATTTACAGAATAACTAATCGATGTTCTAGAAATCTCCAAAGATGATTAAAGTGTTTTGTTTTTCTTAAATCTTAATATTATGAATGCATGGATTTTGCATTACAGTCTTTGTTTTTGATGTTCAAATAGTCTCATCTTTGACCAGTGGAAGCCCCTTCATTTTGGCTCCTTTGCCCTTGACACAACCCCAGTAGTCTTTGATAGCTTCCTTGTTTTCTGGAATAAGATATGCCAGGTGACCTTTACATTCCTTCCTCAGACCTGGTATCAGCTATGGAACTCTATTTGCCTTCACTGGAAATGGTACTTGGAGATCAGATAGATATGTTAGAGATGGTAGATGTGTTCATTGCTACTGAGTTGTTATTGTTTAAAGGCCTTTTTGGTGGACAGAGCTGGGAAAACTATGTATTATAGAAAAAAAAAATTTATGAGTTCTTTATGCTATTTCCAATTCAGATGTAAGATTACACAGTTTTTACTTGATTTTTTTGTGTCTTTTTTAACACTGGAACTATAGGTTTTAACAATATGATTATTGAATTGCAAAATATTGGGGGGAATCTATTTTGTTAGAAGATTTGGGGTCATAAATTCAAATGCCTTAGGGCCAGGCAGCTAACATATCAATGAATTAGGCTTGTTGTGAGATTCAACAAGGAATGGTGGGGGCTGATAAACTGGAGAGCATATGTCCCACCTAATGGGGGCGTGTGTGACTTGGCTGCAGCTTTTTGCCAAGAGGAAATGCAGGTACAGTATTGCTTGATATTCTAATTTCTAAAAGAAGGTATAAATCTAGGTATTTTACATGAAATTATTTAGCTTTTAAATATTGACAACTAGTTCAAAGTTTTTAAAAGTCTCATTAATGCCAAGCAAATAATTTCTTCCATGGGCTATCAGTTTGTGACCTCTTCTGAGAAAGATCTGAGAAATTGGTAGTTTGTACCAGCTTTTCAGCATCTTCCAGACCTCAGACAACCTGAAAGATACAGTGGGAAAGAGTACAGTGAAGCTGACTTAATCATCCTAGTTTTGCTGATCATGATGCATTTATTATCTGCCTTCTTTTTCAATCTTTTTTTTCTTTTTAATCATTAACTTTGCATTTAACATTTCTTTCATATTCAAAATAGGAACTGACAACGTCTCAGAAAAGCGGTGGCAATGTTCTTCAGATGATGTACGAGAAGCCTGAACGATGGTCTTTTACCTTCCAGTCATATGCCTGCCTCAGTCGAATACGAGCTCAACTTGCCTCTCTCAATGGCAGACTCAAAGATGCCGAGAAACCTGTATTATTTTTTGAGCGATCTGTGTATAGTGACAGGTATTTGTAAATGGCCTGTACTTGTCTCTTTGAAGTCTTTTGACTAAGAACTAGACATTTTTCTTTTCCTGGAAATCAAATTAATATGAGAGTCTGAGTGGGGAATTTGAGATGGAAAATGATAATCTATACTGGAAGTTCTAGTGTTTATAATACCTAGGTTTCCTGGGTACTGTCGGGAATATGGTAGTTATTCAAATTTGCAGTATTTTTTTTTTTTAATCTCCATCCCTTTTAAAAGTCTTGTCTGCTCTGGAGATGGTGAGTCAGTCTATATTCTAGACTTACATGGTGCAAGATCAGAAATCTCTGGGGACCTTAGAACTGCCCTACTTATATAAGGATTTTGTTGACCTCCAAAGTTAGCTCAGAGTAGTGGTTCTCAAGTGTTTTAGTCTTAGGACCTGTTTATACACTTAATAATTATTGATGAGCCCAAAGAGCTTTGGGTACAATTGACATTTACATTATTAGAAATTAAGATTGAGAGATTTTAAAAATATTTATTAATTTAAAATTAGCAATAATAAACCCATTATCTATTAACATAAATAATATACTTGTGATTAAAAAAAAAACTGTATTTTCCAAAACAGCACAAAAAATTAGGAGTTATTTTATATTTTTATAAATTTTTAAAAAATCTAACTTAATACAAAAACTGTATTCTCATACCTGCTTCTATATTGAGCCTGCTGTGATATGTTGTTTTTGTTGAAGTATATGAAGAATATCTGGCCTCTAACATACCCCCTGCAAGGGTCTCGGGGAATTCCAGTGGCCCTCAAACCACGTTTGGAGAACCTACTGGCCAAGAACATATTTCCTGTAGTTGGGGAAACTGTTTTCTTTTTTTTCTGTCCAAAGGACTTTCTGGCACAGGTTTAGGAGAATGTTCTATTCCATTTTCTCTTTTGGATCCAGTTTCTTTTTTTTTCTTAATACTTTCTTGAAAAGAATTTAAGTGTTGATGTGGACTCCCTTTCAGGTATATTTTTGCATCTAATTTGTATGAATCTGACTGCATGAATGAAACAGAGTGGACAATTTATCAAGACTGGCATGACTGGATGAATAACCAGTTTGGCCAAAGCCTTGAACTAGATGGAATCATTTATCTTCGAGCCACTCCAGAGGTGAGACCCAATAAAGATTTGTTTGTTCCATTACAACTTTAAAGAATACTTAGAAGTCTTTTCAGTAGAATGCAGTAAAGGCAATTTAGTTTAACTCCACTGCCTACCCTCCAGCTCCCCACATCTAAGTTAGAAACTTCTATGTAGATAGAAGCAGTCTACTTTCTCAGCAAACTGGAAGTTCAGGTTTGGCAATCACTCTTTTAGGTCTTTTTCTCTTGTTTCTCAATTCTATTTTATTTTTCTTCATTATTTCTTCCTAACTTTTGCTGGCTATCTCATCTGTCACAGGTAGAGTAAGGAACTTGCTCAAGCAAGTCCTAGAATATAGGCTTCGTGAAGTGGGACTTGGAGTATTTTAATTATTGTTGAATTTTTAGCTCCCAGAATAGGGCATGGACATATAATAAGAACTCAGTAAATATTTGCTGAATGAATGGTAAAGTTGATGGAGGTCTATTTCAAGAAATCTTTTATGGTTGTTTGTGGCTTGGAATGAGTAGGTAGTGGTAGCTGTAGCTAAGAAGGCACTTAGAGGACCTTACCCATTTTCAGTTAACAGAGCTCACTTGAAAATGTGCCTTTTATGATTGGTCGTAACATAGCTATTCTTGTTTACATATGAAATTACATAATGAATCCGGGAAGATCAAGTGAATGCCTTTCATAAAATTAATCTAAATAATAAGAACTTAACACTTAATAAGAAAATTACCAGTTTTAGTGCCTGCATTCGTATTGTTTTTTCTGGGTATTCCTATTTCTTCCCTAAGTGACAAAGTAGACTCTGATGAATGTAGATATCATGACTTCTAGCCTGAAAGTAGTTATAATAATGTGAATCTTTAGAAGCTGAATTTTAAAGGTAATTAGCTCTCTAATTCCAGTAGATGATTTGTTCCTCTTCTAACATCAATTAAGCCAGAATCAACAATAATTTCTTTTGAAATTCATTATTTTTTTGGAAGAATTTTTTAAATTATAATAATAATAAGGGCAGGTATTATTATTATTATTTTATGAAAAAAGAACATAAGGAAAACTAAATAACCCCATTCTACCAGAAACATTTGTAGTCAATATCTTAAAGCTTAACCCAAAACTTTATTTTATTTCATCAATAATATTTGTAATATCTTTTGATTAGAAGGCCTTTTAATTACTAAAAAGAGAAGATTTTTAAATTGACTTTGAAACACTGTTTATATGCTGCCATAGTCTCATTATGTACATCCTTTAGATTGGGAGTTCTTACTTCTTGGGATACATGGATGAGCTTCTGAGGATCTATGAATCCCCGTAAACTATGTAAAATTTTGCATGTGTATTTTCAGGGAGAAAAGATCTAGGGCCTCAGTGTCCAATGTGGCTATTTAAATTAATTAAAATTAAATATAATTTTAAGATTCAGTTTCTTAAGTCACCATACTCTAGCAGTATTTCAAGTACTCAGAAGCCACATGTAGCCAGTGACTACCTCATTGGCTAGTGGAAGTATAGGGAGGGCATTTCTGTCATTGCAGAAAATTCTGTTGGTCTGTGCTCGTCCAGAGCTTTCTTCACTTTAAGAACCACTGCCTTTATATGGGACATAAAGTGATACTTGTGAGGAGTGTGCTTCTTAGTTTAAGTAGATACATGAGACTAAATGGGCAGCTCCTGTCCGGAGGTGAGATGAGAAGGCAGAGAGGGTCAGGAGCTGGTTGAATGGACACAGGAAATCCCAGGTGGAAAGGAGGAGTATGCTGTTACAGTATACGGAGAGCAACTAAGGTCACATAGCAGTGTGTATATAAATTTTTGTTTGAGAAACTGAAAAAAAACAACTGCCTTTAATGGTTTTACATTATCTAAACAGACATTTTGTAGTTAAATTTAGTTAACCACAAAGTAGGATTACTTTGATAGATTGGTATACCTTTTAGCTGCCCTCTCAAAAAGTTAAATAAACATTTAATGATTTTTTTTTTCCTTTTTACCAAACTTATATTATGAAGTATATTTCATCTATAGATGCCAAAATTTATAGAATTTGTTTTTGACTTATTTTTGTAAGTAATGCTTAGTATAGAGGCACCAAATGTCTATGAAAAGTACAAGAAGGGAAAATGAACTACTTTATAGAGGAATTAAATAAAAATTTTGGGCTAGCATAACTAAAAATACACCAAAACCAAAAACCAATTGCTGTTGAGTCGATTCTAACTCATGGTGACCCCATGTGTGTCAGAGTAGAACTGTACTCCATGTGGTTTTCAATGGCTAATTTTTCAGAAGTAGATCACCAGACCTGTCTTCCAAGGTACCACTGAGTGAACTTGAGCCTCCAACCTTTTGGTACCATCCAAGGACCCCAAAAAACACTAGGGAAGAAATTTTTTAAATTTATTGGCAGCAGAGAAGAATAGGAAACCCTGGTGGCATGGTGGTTAAGAGCAACAGCTGGTAACCAAAAGGTTGACAGTTTGAATCCACCAGGTGCTTCCTGGAAATCCCATGGGGCAGTTCTACTCTGTCCTGTAGGGTCACTATGAGTCTGAATCCACTCGATGGCAACAAGTTTGGTTTTTGGAAACCCTGGTGGCGTAGTGGTTGAGAGTTTGGATGCTAACCAAAAGGTCGGCAGCTGGAATCCACCAGGTGCTCCTTGGAAACCCTATGAGGCAGTTCTACTCTGTCCTGTAGGGTCACTATGAGTCGGAATTGACTCGGCAGCAATGGATTTTGTTTAGACAAGAGTAGTTCCTCCCTTCCTTTTTTTTTTTTTTTTTTTTTTCCTCTTATTGCCTTATTGCTTGCTTTTAGAAATGCTTGAATAGAATATATTTACGGGGAAGAAATGAAGAACAAGGCATTCCTCTTGAATATTTAGAGAAGCTTCATTATAAGCACGAAAACTGGCTACTGCATAGAACACTGAAGTAAGACTTAACTTATTTTTATTTACTATTCACTTTTCATTCCTTTATTGAATTTTAATCTAAGATTTGGAAGATATAAATAGAAACGTGAAATTTTTCATTTTCAGTCATTTTACTTATTGGTATTGTAATATCTTCCAGAATTAGGTGTGCGTTTTCATTCTTTTGATTGCAATGAGATTCTGTTTCCTTAAAGTTCTTATAACTTGTATCCCATAGTAGTATTGTCAGCAGAAAGTAGAAAATATACCTGTGTACATTATTTAGGTGCTATGTTTTAGATGTATTTTAAGATAATATATTTTAAATTTGTTTCTTATAACATGACGGGAAGTAGTATAGCATTGTTAATAGCATGCACTTTGTCATTACCAGGTTTTGGTTCAAATCCAATCTCACTTATTAGTATCTGAGTTTGGACAGTCACAGAGCCTCAGAGTGAACTTCTGAGGCTTAGTTGTCTCATCTTTAAGATACAAAATATTACTTTATGGTATGTTTTTTGAGGAAAATCACATGTCACAATTCCCAGTTTTCATCTGAGATTTTTTTAGCTACACGTAGTAAATCCAGGTGAGAAAGAAGAGGCTGCTAGATGAAATTCTTGCAGGATAACTAGTATAAAATGATTGGCAACATTTTGATTTCCAATGATGACGTTAGAATGAGTTTTTAGTGTTTCTCTCTTATTTATCACTTTTCTGATTATTGTGTTCATCTCTCTCTTTTTAAACAGAACCAACTTTGATTATTTACAGGAGGTACCTATCTTAACCCTGGATGTTAATGAAGACTTTAAAGACAAACATGAAAGTCTGGTTGAAAAGGTAGATTTAGGCAAAGACTATAAGCTAATACTTATTTTGTCTTGTCTAAAAAAAATGTGCTATCTTGTGAAAAAAGTTTTCTAACAGAAGAGCTTACAAAAAGTTATAGTAAGAGACAGTTAAGAGCTTTAGAGGGCTTTTAGACTATTTAGATTCTAATCTTGACTTCAAATTCTAGCACTGTGGCCTTAGCTAAATTAAGGAGCTTCTCTATCGTTTAGTTCCTCTATCTATAAAATAAGGATAATCACAATAACAAATGTTCTTTTTCACCCCCTTCTCTGTTTTAACCCTTTTTCTTTCCCTCTTCCTCATACCAACAATCTTTAGATATTTTAATGATAAACTACTTGTGCAGTTAAATTTATCTTTTTAAACTAAATTCAATATGGAGGATATCAAAGTCAGAAGATATAGATCTCATCCATTTTTACCTTAGCTGAAGTAATGAGATTAAGGGACTTTTAGTTTTGAGTTTCACTTGGGGCCATTGCCTAATCATTAGTCATTGTTTTAATCAACATTAATCTGTCCCCCAGATAATTGGGAGTTGACGATATACTTCTATTAAGTGAGTTGTACCCATATTGACTGGGAGAGAATCTGTTGATTTAACACTTGAGAGAAATTAATAATGGGGATTGTATAGCAAATATTCCTATACCCTTGCTAATTAACAATCTAAGATCGAAAGAAGAAGCCATAATTCTTTTTGTTTAGTTATGAGAAAAAATTGAGATTTCATTTCTTCTGTCACAAAATGTCTGCTGCTTGCTATAATAGATACTTGCCATTCATAAGGGATATATCTCAAGAATTTCGAAAGTCTCAACATTTATAGGTAACTGTATAGTATAGTGTATATAGGGCAATGATGGCTCAGTGGTAGAATTCTTGCTTTCCATGTGGGAGACCCAGGTTTGAGTGCCAGCCAATGCACCTCAAGCACAGCCACTGCTTGTCTGTTAGTGGAGGCTTGCATGTTGCTGTGATGCTGAACAGGTTTCAGTGGAGCTTCCAGACTAAGACAAGGAAGGAAGGCCTGTCGATCTACTTCTGAAAATGAGCCAGTGAAAACCTTATGGATTGCAATAGTCCAATTACGTTATACATTGGGTCGCTAATGGCAGCTAACAACAGCTATAGTATGTAGTTATTTCTCCCATGATAGAGTAAAGCATTGCTGAAAAATTTAAGTGACCTCTTCATGATGTTAAAAATATAAGATAGAATTTAGTTGTGATAATATTAAAATAAATTAAATCAGCCATTGCAGTACTAACAGCCAAACATCAATTTAATTGATTCTGTAAAATCACTTTTTCATCTAACACTTCTGTGTTTTGACTAAGAATCATCATTTCATATTATTATTTAATTTTATGTTCATAAAGCTCTCAGTTGGCTTTCTCTTTTAGGGTATTTCCTACACAGCAATATTTTTGTCTCTTCAGGAGAATTACTTTATATTTTAGAATATGTAGAGAACAGTCTTGTTGCACTGTGGTGTTGGTCAGATGACTCAGTTTATTCACTACTTACGTGTCTTCTTCCCACACACTAGCTTAAGAAAAATTGCATATGTATTACATCTGGATCTTCAGGGTGCTTAAACCATTACAGTTATTAATGTTATTACCATTAAACCTCCGAATGTTCAGTGGTCTATGGTATTTAAATTAAGAGATTGTAAAATTAGTGTTGCTGGTGTTGTAGAACTTTTTCAATCTTACGTGTAAATTTAATAGCTCCTATAATGACATTTTAGGTCATTTGTTTTTTAGTACTGCAGTATTTACCAATATTTCTTTTCAAAGTAAAGTAAAATGCTATGGCATTGCGATGGAGTTACCTATACAGTAACTTTTGTATACTTTTAAATGAAGGTGATATTAGATATTTTGAATTAGTCAAGGAATTAATACTTTTTTTCCTTTTCTCAGGTGAAAGAATTTTTGAGCACTTTGTGATCTTGCTGAAGACTACAGGCAGCCGAATGTTTCCAGACACTTCAGTTTTGTATATCTTTGTAGTTCCATATTCATACACATCTCTAGAAAACCCAAGTTTTTAACCATTTTTACTGCAAGAAAAACATGTTTTTTTTTTTTTAAGATGAATCCTTTGCAAAAGTTTACAACTTGTTACTTAACTGGAAACTTAAATGTTACATAGCAAAAGGTAGCATGTTCTGTGTAAATCAGTGTACTATTAAAAGTTGAAAAGTAAAACTTAGGAACTCTCTAGACTAAGAATTCTGAAGTTTAAAATGTTTTTGATCAAGTGCCTCCCTTCCAACCTAGTTTATCTTGAAGATAAGGCTAGATTTAATAGTTAATCACTTTGTTGATTTTTATTGATGTGTCTATGACACATTTATAAAGCAGCAGGTTAGGCTTTGTTCCCACTTTGGTAGTGATATAATCTATCTTATAAGTCATTTAATCTTTTCTCTGCCTTTGTTTCTTCATCTGCAGTATGGATGAGACTTCTTTCATCCTTTTGCATGGAATTCTGGGGATTAAAGAGGAAATGCTTCTATACTTAAAAGATAACTGAAAGTTGTTACTTGAGCATAAAGATTCCAATTACATGGAGCTTAAAATAGCTCCCCGCTTTATCCCTTCTCAGATTATTCTTCTAGGATGGAAAAATAATTATTATAGTTGAAAAAAATTTTTTTAAAAAAAAAAAACTATGGTTGTCCTTAAGTCATTTGAGTTGGAAGTACAGTTTTCCCTAAATTTCTTTCCAAAAAGGTAATGTTAGTGGAACATAATGAGAGATTAGTTTTTCCATTTTATTCTCTATTGTTCCTGCACTAGGATTGAGTGGTCTTTCTTTACCTTAAACTTGGTGATGTGTTAAAAGCGAAACTCTGAAACCGAAGTAGATTATTTTAGCAGTTTGGTCTGTTTAGTCCCAATTCTTACTTCCTACTGCATCTTGCTTTCCCTACTGTCTGAATTAATTAGGCAGCCTGCTATTTTAAAGATTAAATAAAAGCCACACATTTCTACTTTGAGATCACTGTGGTCACTCTTCATGTCATAGTTTGCTTTGCTTCTTTTTGGGGTTTTGCCTTAAGTATTTTCTGCTAATTTAAGGGAAATTACTGATAAAAATTATCTTGCTTTATATGTTACATATCCTAAAAGTATCATTTTTGTTGAGTTAGGAAATATATATAAAGGAAAGACAGGGTAGAAACTTTTCCATCAATAAGTAATACCAAACTGGAGGACATTATGCTGAGTGAAATAAGTCAATCACAAAAGGACAAATATTGTATGAGACCTCTATTGTAAAAACCAATGAAAAAGTTCA